CTTCTCTGGAATAGGTTCCTCCCTTCCATGAGTCAGAGAAGTCTTTGATAAGTCAGTTTCATTTTTTTCAGCATTTTTTTCATATAAATGGTGCAGCTCTGGGTTGAGAAGTTGAGTCCCTTGATTATCCTTTTTTAAGCCAATGATCCATCCTTAAAAGTGTAGCAAAAAGACTTTATAAACAGATTTTCTGTTAAAATAAATGATTGTTAAATTTTGAAATAAGTTTTAGAGAGAAATTTTAAAATTAGAAAATCTTTTGAAAATTTATAAGAATACTGTTGCAACATAGGGCTTCACTGGTGGCTCATTGGTAAAGAGTCCACCTGCCAATGCAGGAGATGCAGGTTCGACCCTTGGGTTGGGAAGATCCTCTGGAGAAGGAAATGGCAACCCACTCCAGTACTCTTGCCTGGAGAATCCCATGGACAGAGGAGCCTAGTGGGCTACAGTCCATGGGGGTCCCAAAGAGTCAGACATGTCTGAAGTGACTGAGCATGCACACACATAACGAATTGCAACATAAAACAGTAAATATTTCTAGTCTGTTCCTGTATAGGAGCAGGAAAGACCTCATAATTTCAAAATAAAGATTTATTGGGTAATAATGAAGTTATATCAGTTATAGTAAATATAACCAAAGATAGCTAGTAAAAGCAGAGTAAAAGTACTAGAAGCAAACTTAGGTATGAAAATGCACGTATCTATTCCCCAAACCTTAGAAATTTCTAGAAAACACAAGAATACTCAAACAAACATACATTTTACTGTCAGAGTAATATCATCATATGTCATGTAGCCTCCAGAAAACCTCTCTGTATCATAAGAGAAAGAGTGAAAACAGCAAACAATATTACTATTAAAATAGGCATGTACTATTTTATATTTTATAAATGATAATATATAAGTGAAGTTTATATGATATATAAAAACATTCTATTATGAACATAGTATAGACTTTATAAACCTCCTGAAAGGATCTTGAGGCTTTTGAAGGGTCCCCAGACCACACTTTGAGAACCACGGGTTTACAATTTTTATGTGTTTAGTTATTAAAATTTATTCTGACTTCATAATATAGATCAGAAGAGTTTTCATCTTGTCCTGGGGACTGGAATTAGTCTTGTTTTGTTTTATCATTTCTTTTCCCCCTACCCATTCCACCTGTTTCATGGCATGTGCTTGTGTGTTCCTGAAGAAGTGAAGCCGGCCAGGTGGGGGTGGCGGTGGGCGGGGGGGAGTCCAATGCTGTAAACCCAAACCCAGGGACCATCCCATGTGACTGATGTGACATAAGGAAAGTGAGGCTTTTTCTTTTTTAATCGTACTTCCTAAAGCATCAAGGCAGAAAGCAGAAAACTAGGTCTTATTCCTTAAAAAAACATTTTTATATCACTAATTTTCAACTGATGCTGTCTAGATGCATTTTACCAATCCCAGCACCTGGGTAGAAATGTTCATATCCAAAGAAAGACCGGGCTCAAGCAGCAGAGCAGAATCAGTGGCTTTTATGAAAACCCCAGTATGTTCTGATGTCACTAAGGTATCACATCAAAACCCCTGGCCCGGTTCCTGAGATCCTGGAGGCCCTTGGTGAATGTCGGCTCTAGTCCTGATGATGCTGATGTCATCAGCTGCAGCCCCCGCCATGCCTGGCTGCAGAGAACAGGCTAAGTCCTGGTGTTTCTGCCGTGCCTTGTACTCTGGCTCTGGTGGAAATGATGTGCCATAGAGGAGCCTTACAGAAGGATATGGCCTCAGGTGTTCTAAAATGCAGTGTTTTAATAGAAGATGTGAGCTTCAGCTAGGCTAACAGATCAGAAAACAACTGTCCTCTTATGGTTGAAGGCGGGGGCAGGGGGGCAGGTGTGTGGGAAGGGATAGTTAGGAAGTTTGGGGAGGTCATGTGCACACTGCTATATTCAAAATGGATAACCAAGGACCTATTGTATAGCACAGAGAACTCTGTTCAATGTTATGTGGCAGCCTGAATGGAAGGGGGTTTGGGGGAGAATGGATATATGTAGTGTATGTGTAGGTGTATATGTATGGCTGAGCAAGTCTACAGAAATTTGTGAAGCCCTAAGTTTGATTGAAGGCGGGAGGAGAAGGGGATGACAGAGGATGAGATGGTTGGATGGCATCACCGACTCAATGGACATGAGTTTGAGTAACTCCGGGAGCTGGTGTTGGACAGGGAGGCCTGGTGTGCTGCAGTCCATGGGGTCGCAAAGAGTCGGACACAACTGAGCGACTGAACTGAACTGAACTGAAACTTTTATTTGTCAGCCTGGGAAGGGTGTGAAGAGCTGTGTTATAGGAAGGTTGATCTGGTGTGTGTTCAAATTTGTTAATTTGAGATCCAGAAAGCTTACCTAAATTACTTAAAACCCAGTATCATCTGAATGGACTTCCCTGGTGGCTCAGACAGTAAAGAATCCTCCTGCAATGCGGGAGACCTGGGTTCGATCCCTGGGTTGGGAAGATCCCCTGGAGGAGGGAACAGCTACCCACTCCAGTCTTCTGGCCTGGAGAATTCCATGGACTGTACAGTCCACAGGGTCGCCAAGAGTTGGACACGACTGAGCGGCTTTCACTTTCACTTTCCTGTGGGGTCACTGCTCCTTTCCTCTGGGTCTTGGTGTGCACAGGATTTTGTTTGTGCCCTCCAAGACTGGAGTCTCTGTTTCCCCCAGTCCTGAGGAAGTCCTATAAGCTAATCCTGCTGGCCTTCAGGGACAGATTCCCTGGGGATTCCCAACCCCACAGGAGATTGAACCAAAACTACCTGCTAGTGTTGGAGGGTCTCCTGCGTAGGCGTGGGTCGGCAGGGGGCTCACCACAGGGATGGGGGCACCGGCAGCAGCAGTCCTGGAAGGTTCCCCTTGGCCTGAGCTCTGTTGGAGGTCACCATTAACCCTACCACAGAGCCCATAGGCCCCAGGGCTGGGTCACCTCAGGCCAGACAACTAACAGGGAGGAAGCACAACCCCACCCATCAGCAGATAATTGGATTAAAGCTTTACTGAGCAAGGCCCTGCCCACCAGAGCAGTTTTTCCCACTGCCAGTCCCTCCCATCAGCTTACTCAAACCTCTTAGCCTTCTCCATCTGAGGGCAGACAGAAGAAGCAAGAAGAACCACAGTCCCACAGCAGCTAGAACAAAAATCATGTTATAGGAAGTTAATCAGGATGAAGAAGCAGAAAGTTATGTCCCAGATGAAGGGACAATATAAAACCCCCGAAAAGCAACTAAATGAAGTGGAGATAGGCCATCTTCCAGAAACAGAATTCAGAATAATTCTGTTGATAGAATCTAACCCAGATAATCACAATGGTGTGATCACTCACCTAGAGCCAGACATCCTGGAATGTGAAGTGGGCCTTAGAAAGCATCACTACGAACAAAGCTAGTGGAGGTGATGAAATTCCAGTTGAGCTATTTCAAATCCTGAAGGATGATGCTGTGAAAGTGCTGCACTCAATATGCCAGCAAATTTGGAAAACTCAGCAGTGGCCACAGGACTGGGAAAGGTCAGTTTTCATTCCAATCCCAAAGAAAGGCAATGCCAAAGAATG